AATTAAATAGCATTATGAGTCTCATAATGAAGACCTCGACGGAACCATATTTAATGAGTGCTATCCTATCGTTATCGCAAATACCATTGAAAGCCACCAAACTCTTGGTCATCTTCACCAACTTATCTACTTCTTGGACACACATGAGAGCCCACGCCCGACAGGCCTCCTCGATGACCGGGTGCTTAATGAGGTATGTCTGGGCGTCGGTCAGCCAGGTCTTCATCACGTGTGTGGCACTCAATAATTCAGTCATCCTATTGCTCTCTAATTCGTTAAAATTATTCTTATAGTCAGTTATGAGGGGTGGTATACACGGGACTACCATTTCATTACTATTTGAATTAACGGTATTTGTATTATCATTGATACACATGAGTGCCGAAGAAGTGTTATCTTTATTAAGAGATGAATCAATAGGTGAGCTGATTGTCTGATCAAATAATTGAGTTTTATTTGTCTTATGATAGCGTCTATTATGGCTATTAACTGTAATCTTATATTTTCTACATTTTCTCTCCTCTTCAGTGAGAATCCACTCCTAAAAAGCATTCATTTAAACCAATTTTATTACCGATAATAGTTATATTAAAAGTAAAACATTAGAAAATTAAATACTTGTTTCATTCCTATTGAAAAGCATTTATTTAATCGACATTTTCGGCATACTTTCCGCGTCTTAAAGTCTATTTTGCAATTGTTATCGAAATAACATTTGAATTGCTGATTGATAATAAAAACATTATAATTGTTAATTGTCTTAAAAATGCATGTTTTATTTCAAATTATATAAATACATTACATCTCTTTTAAAGGCATTCCTCCTGAAAAAGGCTTTACAAGAATCACAAGTAATTGCATTGAAGTTATAATAACCTAATCATCAAATTTAGTTAAATTACCTAGTTAAATTTATATTGTATTATTTAATTTCTTAGCATATTTTCATCTCATACCATTTGTTTTATCACCACAAACACCGCAGATTTTAACAACATCCTGGTCACTCATTATTTTAAAATACTACTTACAAGTATCAATATGTTAATTAATGACAAATTTTTAGGATATTTAGTTAAAATATCATATTGGTTCTCAAAATATAAATAATAAAATTTTAATGCATAAAATTAATGTATTAAGGTAAAAAATATTTTACTTTTATACTAGTTGTTACTACAACTACGTAATCTCATTACAAACCATACTTATATTGTACCAGGTTTATCGTTTTCCAATTATTTTCATCTACTGTATTATTAATCTATCATGCCTTATTAATGGCGTACATTTTGACCTTAATTTTTTCAATTAATTTATAATTTATAAAATATATTTAATGAATTCGATTATTATGCAAAAAACATGTATTTTAATAAGTGTTTAAAATATTTAAAAACATTTACGGTTTGAAATACAATTATAGAGATAAATGATTTATTTAAACCCAAAAATTACTGGTATATTAAATAATGATTAATAGATTTATGACGCAAATCAAAGTGTTTATTATTAAAATACGTATTAATTGTAATGATATTGAAAATGATTCAGAAAACAATGATATTATTGGTGGTGACGGTAGCGCCGATACATCCGTCACATTTAATGTCCGACTTTTTCCCATTTACATCTAAGATTTCCCTCATGAGTGGTGGCACATGTTCAGGGTCCTTACGCTCCATACTGAGTCTAAAATTTTCACTCAAAACTTTCAAGTCTTTGAGACAATTTAAAAGTTTCAAGAATTTCAAAGTGGATTCAGTTTGCGATTGATATCTGACGGCTAAATAGCGCTGAAGTAAATACATATAAGTATTCTGCTGTAGCCTATGAACACAAAAATATAAACATTTTAATTAATACTACCGTAATCAAATATTTGAACATTTATTGATCATATTTAATTATTATAACTTACTTAACAAACTCTTTGTGTTCAAGATTGGGTCGATCCGGATTAAACAGTACTATCGCTGTTAGCTATAATAGAATTAAATAACATTTAATAAATATACACTTTATGTATTGATACATGAGACAATGATTGCATACCAGGTCCAAAACAATAATATCGGTTTCCCATTCTTTGTCAATTTTGTTTAAAAATTTCTTAAGCCACACGTACACATCTTTGGGAAATTTTTTAAACAATTTCAAATCCAATACAAATCTACTCTCGCTATTCTGCGGTCAAAATTATTAATTAATATAAAATAAGTAGTTAGCAATAAAAGTTTCAAAAATTTTACCAGTATAATTGTCCAGGTCTGATTAGCGCGGCTATAATAGGGAACTGTACGCATGCTGAACATGTCTAGTGCACTCCCTTTAATCAGGGTGATTTTGTCACTTTCATTAATACTGTTGAATGTGGTGAACGATTTGGACATTTGGATCACTCGCTTAAACTGTGTCTCAAATAAGTTGGTCATAACTGAGCCAAATTGCTGGTCAGACTCGATATGCGAGACCATGGCTGTAGGCGCCGACTCTTTGAAAAAGGAGGTGGCGTTGAAAAGTTCAGCCAATTTATTGGTCTCCAACTCATTAAAACTGTACGTATTAGCGACGGGTCGGGCGATGGGCAGTAGAGTAAACTCCAGTTCCACTGCCCGGTCGTACACCGAGTCGTCGATATCATCGGACGACTCGTCGTCCACTCCTTCGTCCTCTCCAATGATTTTCTCGATTTCCATGATTTGTGTATTGATTTCGTCGATATCGAGGTCTAAGTCTAGCAACTCGTCTAAATTGTCGGGGATTTTAAGCGGATTGTCACTCGTGTCGCACGACTGGGAACCGCTGTCCGATTGGGTGTCCGATGATGTGTTGGATACCCCGCTATCACTCACTTTGCGTTTCGTTTTATTCATTTCTATTTTCATTTTTCTCACTTTCTTTGCTTCACTCGTGAGAATCATTTCCTTCAATCAAATGATATAATCGGTTAATATTAAACTAAATGCTATTTTAACTCAAGAATATTCTGGACTAACTTTTTTCATGCCGATGTCGAGGCACTTCTGGAGCCGACACTTAATGCAGAATCTTCTGGTGTAGACATCGATTTTGCAGTTGTCATTGAATTCGCACTTAAACTCCTAATTATATCATTATATTAGTCATTGAAAGTAATGATAAGTTTTTCGTAAAAACTATTAACAGATAAATACCGTCTCTTTCAGTGCCGTACGTCTGAAGAATGCTTTACACGACTCACACGACAGGGCATCAAAATTCTTGCCTAAAATTCATTGAAATTAAGGTTTAATTATTAAATATAAAGTATATATTTAGAAAATATATGTGAAAACATTCAATAAAATAAAGTCAATGAAAATCATGGATACGAAGCCATGATATAAGCACTTAAAAACCGGAATTCAATTCAATACATACCGAGAGCTTTATCGTCACAAACCAAACATTTTCGCTTAAACTTCTGGTCAGACATTATCACTGATTAAATGAATTGTTTGTAATGTATTTAATAATTTCAGTCAATTGTTTAATAATTACATCAGTACACCAGAAAGTAAATATGAATTTATGCAGAATAATGTTTATTTAAAACTGTACATGTATATATTTGTTGAGTCTCTACGACAACATGAAAAAGCAGTGATAAACTAAATTGAACACGAAGTCGATTGAAGGACCTGTCCCTCCTACTAACCTTGAGCATTATTATGACATTTACTTTTCTTTTTCATTTACTACTGTAGTTAATACTACAATATAATAGTAATTACCGTCGTTTGCAAATATACGATGCAATCATTAAATGGTGAGTTTGCGTGTTTCAACTCAATTTGATGCTAAATTCAAATTGATTATAAAACTTTCAACAACTTTCAGGTCTATTATACTACAGTATTACAAACTTTAGGAATTAGATTATACTCAATTTTAGTTGACACAAAATCATATGTTTAATTAATTGTTCATTAAATAAATATTGCTTTTATATTATTGCCATCACTAAATGATACTCACATACAATGTAACAATAATTAATAAAATTTAATTATAATTATTTTGAATAAAACGTGTGTACTAGGTGTAATATGGTTATCATTTATAAATAGAATTGTCCGGTATATTCCAATATATTTATAAATTAATAATACATAATACTGGTAAATTAAAATTTTATTGTAAACAATTATTGTATTATTCAAACAAGTTCTTGAATAAAGTTTATTTATTTATTTATTTATATTCATGGTTAATGTAAAATAAAATATAAAGCAAAGTAATATCACAATTATACAATTTCGATATTAAGTTTAATTGTATTCATATTTAAATATAAGTATTTAATAAACGATAATATTATTGGTGATGACTGTTGTGTCAACTGATCCATCACCATTATTGTCCAACTTTTTCTCTTGAATGTCTAATATCTCCTTCATGAGTGGTGTCACATGATCAGGGTCTTTATTCTTGATATTAATTTTTAACTTGGCATTATGAGCATATAAATCCTTGAGACAGTTTACAAGTTTCACGAATTTTAAAGTCGATTCAGTTTGCGACTGATATCTGACGGCTAAATAGCGCTCAAGTAAATACATATAAGTATTCTGTTGTAATCTATAATATAAAAACATTAATATTAAAATATAAATTAAAATATATTACATAATAATTAAACATACTTAACAAACTGTTTGTGTTTAAGTTTAGGCCTATCCGGGTTAAACAATACTATTGCCGTTAACTAAAATGTTAAATCAATATTAAACATTATAATGAATACATCATTATTTAACACATGCAATTATTACCAGGTCTAAAACAATAGTATCGGTTTCCAATTCTGTACTGATTTTGTCCAGGAACAGTCTTAACGAATAAAAGTTTTTGTTCAACTTTGATCCCAAATCCAATATAACTGTACTCCCGTTATTCTGCCATTACATTACATTTGAGTTAATAAAATATATAGGAAATCTTATTAGTATATCTAATAAATACCATGATACAGCTCCAGTAACGACTAACGGGGTCATAATAGGGAACGACACGTAGACTGAACAGGTCCAGTGCCACTTCTTTAATCAGGGTGAATCTGTCCGATTCGCTAATACTGTTGAATGTGGTCAACGCTTTGGACATTTTGATCACTTGTCGGAACTGTAGCTCAAATTTATTCATAAAAGCGCGACCCGTCTCACGATCAGTCAGCACCTGTGAGACCACAGATGTAGGCGCTGTAGACTCGTTGAAAAAGGATGTGGCGTTAAATAGCTCGGTCAGTTTATGGGTCTCTAACTCATTAAAACTGTATATAGTAGTGAAGGGTCGGGCGATCGACAGTAGCGGTAACTCCTGTTCCGCTGCCTTATTGTAAATACTGTGGTCTTCCTCTTCAATCAATTTCTCGATTTCCATGATTTGTGTATTGATTTCGTCGATATCGAGGTCTAAGTCTAAGTCATCGAAATTGTCAGGCATTTCAAGTGTACTGTCTTTTGGTTCGTACGACTGGTGGCCACTCTCTGGCGATGATGTCGTATCTGATGTGTCATTAGATCCGCTGTCACTGTCTTTGCGGTAATTTTTATTGATTTCTATTTTCAGTTTTCTCTCAGTCTTTGTATCTCTCGACAGAATCAAGTCCTTCAGTAAATCAATGATAAAACAGTTAATATTAAGAGAGATATAAAATGAAACAAAATTGTGGACAACTTTTCTCATTCCGACGTCAAAGCACTTCTTGAGCCGACACTTCATACAACACTTTCGTGAGTAGACATCGATTTTGCAGTGGTTTTTGAGATCACACGTCAACTCCTAATCGCATCATTATTTTAATGTTCAAAATTATTTATTGTATTATAAATGATAACTTTCTGTAAATACTATTCAATACCTTATTCTTGAGCGCCGTTCGCCTGAAGAATGATTTACACGACTCACAGGACATGGCATTAAAATTCATGCCTTAAATACACACAAATTATTCATTAAAATGACAAATAAATGATTATAACTTTATAATATAAATAATATTATGATATTTCATTGAATATGAAATCTATGATTTGTATTTTAAAACCCAGAATTCAATTCAATACATACCGTGAGCTTTATCGCCACAAACTAAACATTTCCCCTTTATTTTCTGGTCAGACATTATCACTGATTAAGTAAATTATTTGCAAATTATTTACTACAATTAAGTAGAAAATAAACGTGAAGTATATGTTTAGATAATACTGTATTTATGTATGCAGTAAGTTATTTATTTCTAAGTTTCTAAGACTACATCAAATAGTAGTGATAAATTAAACTTCATAAAAGGTAAATCTAACAACCCTAACCTTGACAAGTTGAGTACACAGGCATTATGACATCAATTTACCATTTATTTGATTAATACTTTGAAATGGATTGATAATTAGTTTGCAGTTATTGGTGGGTTTGCTTGCTTTCAATAGAGACTGAATGCACGTATTTACTAAACATAATTTATCAATTTATTAAGAAAGTAAACTTGATAATATAATTTAATTAAACACAACAATCTCAAAAACAATGAATTCAAGTGCTTTCGTTATAAAAGATAATGAAATATTTGAATACAAAATTTTATAAAACATTAAAACAGTAGCAAATTATTAGCAATTAAATGCAATTCATTTTCCGATTGGGTCAGTGGTTTACCAAGAATAGTTCTCATGAGCTGTGAAAGTTGATCAGGGTCTTTTCTTGTGCAATATGTCCGATAACTCTGTCCCAAGGCATCCAAATCTTGCATACAATTCATAAGTTTTGTATATTTTTCCTGTGACTCCACTTGGCAACTGTATCTCATTTGTAAATAGCGTTTAAGTAAATACATGTATATTTGTTGCTCGAGTCTACCAATAAATAAATTTAAATGATATAATATTATTTATTACAAGTCTAATTAGCAGTGTAAAATTCAAAATAATCACATACCTAACTAACTCCTTGAACAAGAGTCCGGGTCGTTTTGGGTTATACAGAGTGATCGCTGTTAACTACAGGCCATAGTGTGTTAAATATATTAAAAATTAGTCACTTTTATGGTAACTATAATACAAAAATAAGTACCAAATCGAGAACCAATGGATCGGATTCCCATTCGTTGCATATATTATTCAAAAAGTTTTTGTAATTAAAATATAGATTTTGCGGAAAGTCTCGCATTAACTCCAAACTGATTACGACTGACGTGTTGTTCCCCTAAAGACAACCAAATTACAAAATACACAATAAATTGCATAAAAATACCAAATTATAAGTCCATTGGTGTTGAGTGCAGTCATAGAAAGGCACGGATCGGATGCAAAACAGATGGAGTACTCCCTGTTTGATGAGAGTCTCTCTGTCGGACTCCACCACACCTTTCGCAGAGCCCAACACTTTCAACATTTTCATCGCTCGGACCACCTGTTGGTCCACTCTATAGACCAACACTTGACGCAATTCCTCAAAGTTTTTGGCCTTATAGGCTACCGGTGCCGAGGGCTCGGCGAAAAAATTTGTGGCATTTAGTAGTTGTGCCAAACGGTTGCCCTCCAACTCATTCAGTGAAAACATGGGGTCAAAGATAGGCCGAGCTATGTGTTCAACCATATGTTCTTGTGGTATGTGATCCGGGTCAATATCATTGAGTACTGGTATGTTATCATGGTTAATTATTGGATTATCAACTGAAATGCATTCCTCGATGTCCTTCAATATTGTATTGAATTCTTCGACATTGAAGTCCGTATCAAATGCATCGAAAATGTCGAGCATTTCAATGCTATTATTAGGAGTTGTGTCACTCGAGTGGGAACTGTCCGGTGATGTCCTATCACTGGACGAGGCATTCGGACTTTGAATAGTTGTGTCCATTTTATAAGACTTTTGATATATTTGATGACTTTTGCTCATTTTCTTAGCTGGCTTATAGTTTGGAATTAACCAGTCCTTTTATAATTAAAAGTGTAATATAATAGTGTGTAAATATAAAATTGTGAATGCTCATATTCAAAGTTTTCAAATACTTGTTTCATTCCCGCGTCCAGACATTTCTCGAGTCGACATTTACGACAAGATTTTCGGGTTAAGACATTAATCACACAATTATCGCCAAAATGACACCTTATTTGCTGTCATATATATACAGTATATATAGTATTTTATTGCCCAACAAAATATCTATGGATTACCTTATATTTGATGGCATTCCTCCTGAAGAAGGCTTTACACGATTCACAGGATAGGGCGTCGAAATTATTACCTATATATCGGGGGAAATATTTTATAATTATTAATATTTTTAACACAGTTTTTTGATTTATAATAATTATAGAAAATTGTATGGATTTAAGAAAAACATATATAAATCAATTACAAACCAATGGCTTTGTCGCCACAAATCAGACACTTTTTCTCAGCCCTAGGGTCCGGCATATTACGACTTCTTTATGTTAATACAAGTGGTGTTTAATAAATAATGAACAAGTACAATCATGTTTTTAGACATTTTAATATTGATTGCAATAACTTAACACATTTTGATTTTCACAAATAGTAATAACATTGAAAAACAAATGATAAGCAATATCTTTTTATGAGTTATATAATGATAATCACTAGTGACTACAGTATTGTCATTGAAATTAATTTATTATAAATTTAAAACATAGCCATACATTTGCGGATCATTTAAAATGGTTTAATTAATATTTTTAAAAATACAAATGTGAAATGCGATTACTTCATTAAAGTATAAATAGTACTTTACCACCAATCATAATTATTTAAATGTTCATTAAATAGCAAACCATTGTTCTTATAGTAATTAATAATTTTATTACTATAAATAAAATATTTCCATAAATTATACATTGTAATAACCACAAACTCGCCACAAAAACCATGAATTGAAATCAGTTTAAATAAAATACGATTTCAATGCAAATAATGTCACATTTTATTGATTCACAACATTATTACAACTAATAGCTGAGTATATTTGTGTGAACATTGTGTTCAATGTCACACTTTGTCCGTATATTAAGCATTTCTCTCATAAACGGAGGAATAGTGTCCGGGTCCTTATCGGCACAGTTCAGTCGGTATACATCACCCAAAACAGTCAAATGAATCAAACAATTCAAAAGTCTTAAGAACTTGACGTTGGATTCCGGGTGCGAGCGATACCTCACGAGTAGATATCGTCGAAGTAAATGCATATAAATGTGTTGATGGAGTCTACGAGTAAAACACATGATAACACAATAAGTTTAAAATATGAACACTTGTAAATGACTTTGCTCATTTCACTCACTTAACCAAATCCTTGTCGATCAGTTTAGGACGATCCGGATTGAACAATACGATTGCTGTTAACTAAGTACAGCATATCATTGTAATCAGAGATTAATCTCAAATACAAATCAATTTCTATGAAAACATTACCAAATCGAGGACTAGTAGATCGGACTCCCATTCCCGACATATATTGTGTAAGAATTTCTTATAAAACGAGTAAATATTTCGCGGAAACACTCGCATTAACTCCAAACTTAATATAACAGACGTATTGTTTCCCTGTTAAGTTAACTCATTTGTTTTAATATATAATTAGCAATAATATACTATAAATATTAACCATATTATAGGTCCAGTGATCTTCGACGCTGTCATAGTAGGGAACGGATCGGATGAGGTATAGCTCGAGTGACCCCTGTTTCAGAAGTGAGATCCGATCGGTTTCGCAGATATTATTAAATGTCTGCAGCTTCTTGGACATCCGTATGGCTCGCATCACCTGTTCATCGATTTTATAACACAGCACACGAACCAAATCCGCGTAATCCCTGGCCATCGATGTCACCGACACTACCGAAAGAGTTTCGCTGAAGATCTCTGTGGCACCGAAAAGCTCCGTCAGTTTAAAGCCCTCTAATTCGTTGAAAACGTAGGTGTGGTCAGTGGTGGGCCGGGAGATGGGTATGACTGTGAACTCGTGTTCGATGGCTTTTTGGTAGACCAGCTCTGATATGTCGTCGTCAAAGTCAGTGAAGACATCAATGGTATTGTTTGCAGTGCTGTTACCATGTTGTATAACATCCCCATTAATAATAGTCTCGATTTCATTCGCTTGTAAATCAATTTCTTCGACATTGAAGTCTAAATCAAGAATGAGGTCCAAGTCCTCAAAAGTGTCCGGAATATCAAGACTAGTTTCCGTATTATATGATTGACTTGTATCTAGTGAACTGGTATTATCTGTCGAGTCTATGCTATTAGATGACACTTGAAGATTATTATCGGATTGGGAACTGTCTGGTGATGTGACCTCAGATGAAGTGTTTTCATTGGATTCCTCAGTATTGATGTATATTCTGTACATATCTATGCGATTCTTTCGCTCGCGTTTTTGTTCACTCGTTAGTATGTAATCCTTTAGACAATTAAAAGTAATCGTAAATAAGAAATACAATTACTATTAGTTTAATGAGAAATATGAATACCGTTTTCATTCCCACTTCAAAGCACTTTCTGAGTCGACATGTCTTACAGAATCTTCTGGAGAAGACATCAATTTTGCAGTTATCATTGAAATTACATTTCGCCACCTATTAGTATAATTACAATTTTAATACATTTGAAAAATATTCAAACTTAAAGTATGATTATTAGTTTTAATATTTAGTTATAATTAGTTTTATTAATTACATTAGTTTTGATGGCATTTCTCCGGAAGAATGCTTTACAGGACTCACACGAAAGGGCATCAAAATTATTGCCTAAATATAGTTTATTTATGAAAATTTTCAATTATGATTAGTGTAATCAATTAAGCAAACATGGATCAATTAATTTTATTCATACCAAGAGCTTTGTCCCCACAAATCAAACATATTTTGTTATAAATCCTACGCGACATATTTGTCAACAGTTCTCAAATACCTTGATTAATTATTTAATTGAATGCAATTATTGTAAATATTAAACTTTTAAGGAAATTCAAATATAAGTTTATTTTCTCAGCAGTCAATGAATGAATTTTGAATATATTTTTACGAAATAATATTACATCTCATGGTCTCTAAGACAACATAACATTTGTGATTACATTTACATTGGACTAAACGTCCCTGAATCCGTATTTAATTATTACTCATATTTATTATAACATGTGTTTTGTTTATTCTGTCCTTTAAATTATACAAACTTATTGATTGTATAAATATGTCATTTAGTAAGAAATACAAAAAATACTACAATAGCTATGATTCTTATATAGAAATGACATTTCATTTTTGTTAGACTTTCATAGATTCAATCACTTGTTGTCTCATCATTAAGACTAAAAATTATTTTATTTTTCATAATTACATTCATAAAAGCATAATTTAATTGTTTATATTGGTCATGTGATTGATTAAATTGATTATCAAATATCAAAAGTTTAAGATAAATAGTTCACTATACATACTATACATAAATGTATCAATCACTTTTACTATTTCCAAATATAGTAGCAATAATTGTTTTAATCAATTTGTTCATTAAACACTTTACTATATATAATTTCATAATTATTCTACTTGAATTAAATATCAATTTATAAAACTAATAACCTCTTTATCATTTTATTTTCAAAAATACCTATATTTTAGATTTCATTTGTTTTTCATTTCATCAAGTTTTAGGATATTTCATAAGAGATAATTAAATGGCATATAAATAATTAATCAGTAATTCATAAAAAATAATAGATAAATTCTAGCCTGGTTAACATAAAAATATTTTATTTTGAAAATTAAACATTTGCAGTATTCGTTTAGAAAATTATATATAATTCAATAGATGAGTATATTGTTATTATTGTTATTAATGGGTACGTTAGGGTTACGGTTGCCCTCCAACTCATTCAGTGAAAACATGGGGTCAAAGATAGGCCGAGCTATGTGTTCAACCATATGTTCTTGTGGTATGTGATCCGGGTTAATATCATTGAGTACTGTTATGTTATCATGGTTAATTATTGGATTATCCACTAAAATGCATTCCTCGATGTCCTTCAATATTGTATTGAATTCTTCGACATTGAAGTCCGTATCAAATGCATCGAAAATGTCGAGCATTTCAATGCTATTATTAGGAGTTGTGTCACTCGAGTGGGAACTGTCCGGTGATGTCCTATCACTGGACGAGGCATTCGGACTTTGAATAGTTGTGTCCATTTTATAAGACTTTTCATATATTTTATGACTTTTGCTCATTTTCTTAGCTGGCTTATAGTTTGGAATTAACCAGTCCTGTTTAAAATTGTTTTGCACTTACGTTAAGAATCCTGAATAATAAGTTCAGCTCAAACTACATTAAGCAATACTATCGCTATTAACTGTATAAAGTAACAAGGGTATCATTTCTCATTAGAAATAATGTAATTCTAGAATCTAATTCTTAACACCTATTCCCGGCATATATTGTGTAAGAATTTCTTATAAAACGAGTAAATATTTCGCGGAAACACTTGCATTAACTCCAAACTTAATATAACCGAAGTAGTATTTCCCTGAACAGTTAAACCAGTTACATTCAAAGTTATTTGCTGTATTTTATATACATACAAATATTAACCATATTATAAGTCCAATGATCTTCAGCGCAGTCACAGTAGGGAAAGGATGGGATTAGGATGAGATTAGTGATCCCTGTAATAGGCCTGAAAGTGCAAGGTTATATATAGCATAGGGTCATTTGTGAGCTTATTCAAAGCTAACCTGTTGATTACAAAGTGAGCTGGCACACGTGGAATTGATAATATTACTGGAATAACACGCGTTACACATATTTGACTAAATTTTCCATTAAATCAGGGTTTTATAAAATTCAACTTGAACAAATACATCAGTATAAATGAAAGGCAAAAATGCAAATAAATCACAGTGTTTGTTGAGATCTGTACTTGTTAGGTCGACTACCATGAGTTCAACAAACATCCCGGCTGAGACTACAGCTAATGTACATCATAGGCTCAATCAACTGGAGGAGCGCATGAGGTTTGTATAAAATGTACATTTAATATGATATTTTGATAAACAATGTATTTTTAGACCTTAATTTTCCAAAATTAAATTAATATAGTTTGCAATATTTGATTAGCTTACAATGCAAGAACGGGAAGTGATTACGCTAATTGCAATTAAAACCGAGTGAATTATACTCGTATGGTATGCTATAATAGGACTGTCCAGGTCCGGTAATCTAGCTATTGTAGTATTTTTTGTATTTCTTACTAAATGACATATTTATACAATCAATAAGTTTGTATAATTT